GTCAAGTTGACGGAAATAAATGTCTATTTTGCTTTATTTATATATTTGTATACAATCTTTGCTCGTTACCAAAGGTTGTTATTTGAATGATGTAATTAGTAATTTTTTTTATTATAAATTGAGTTAATCGTTTAAGAATTGCATGCTAAAACAGATTTATATTTGTCAAGTTGAAGAATTTACGGACATCATCAACGCAAATTGAAGAAGGATGTCGCTGGTGCAACTCTTATATAGTAAAAAAAAAAAGGAAATAAAGGTATATTTTGCTTTATTTATAGGCATAGGGGGCTCAGGTTCGTCATATGAATCTATCTCCCCTTCCTTCCTGGCCCTTTTACTTATTATGAGTTCGCTTCCTACAAACTCTTTCGATAACTGTTAAAGTTGTTGATTAGAGTGGTAATGGTGTTCGAAGAATGTATCAATCCGAGTCAAGATGAATAACATATAATCAAAGCCATGTAACCAGGTTGATTTCTTGGAACATGCTTGAGTTCAAATTGCGTAGGGTTATCAATGGGGGTATAGGATATGTACAATATAATAATCACATGGTCTTGCATATTGAGACATGCACATGAAGGCCCACATTGTTAGTACAAAAGATTAATCGGCACGTTGTTTTCCGTTTCCAATTGTAAAGTTCATCGCCAATAAAAGGAACACCCCTTTTTGGGACTTTGTCTCAAGAGGTTTCGTCCCTTACACAATCATCTGATCCTCTTTAATTGTTAGCGAATTAACACGCGCGAAACAAATTCAAAAAAAGAGAGAGAGAGAGAGAAATGCATTTTGAAATTAATAAAACAATGCATGGCATCTCCTTCCTCCCAAACTCTGTTGCTTATTAATAAGAAGCCCTGCACCACTTCTTTCTTCATTCTCCTGTCTTCTTCATATCCAACATCGCTTTATGTGCTAATTAATCAAATATTGTATAAAATTGAATTAATCGTTTAAGAATTGCATGCTAAAACACATTTATATATGTCAAGTTGAAGAATTTACAGACATCATCAACGCAAACTGAAGAAGGATGTCGCTGGTGCAACTCTTATATAGTCAAAAAAAAAAAAAGGGAAATAAGGGTATATTTTGCTTTATTTATAGGGATAGGGAGTTCAGGTTCGTCATATGAATCTATCTCTCCTTCCTTCCTTGCCCTTTTGCTTACTATGAGTTCGCTTCGTACAAGCTCTTTCGATAACTGTTAAAGTTGTTGATTAGAGTGGTAATGGTGTTCGAAGAATGTATCAATCCGAGTCAAGATGAATAACATATAATCAAAGCCATGTAACCAGGTAGATTTCTTGGAACATGCTCGAGTTCAAATTGCGTAGGGTTATCAATGGGGGTATAGGATATGTACAATATAATAATCACATGGTCTTGCATATTGAGACATGCACATGAAGGCCCACATTGTTAGTACAAAAGATTAATCGCATTACTTTTAAACCAAGTTGAGATCAAGCCCACATTAGGAACAGAAATTAAATAAAAAAAATTATGTCCTTGTTTTATTCATCTAAAAAAATTGATTTTAATTTAGATTATTACTAATAATTAATTTTAATCAAACATTTTATGGGATCTACAATTTTTCATACATTCCATCAACTTTTATCATAATGTACTACAAAACAAATTTTTCGATAAACCAAATGTAATTCTGTTGACACATAAAAATTCAGCCCAAATCGAACAGCCCAGAGAGTAAAGCCCAATTGGAGGATCCCCAAATCAGACAACCCAAAGAACGAAATCCAATTGAACGAATCATTACAAATATTGTATACAACATCGCTTTTAAACCAAGTTGAGATCTACAATTTTAATCAAAGATTGTATACAAATATATACTAATTACATCTATTTTCTTCTCAAACTTTTTGATGGAAATCAAGTTGAACAAAGATTTTGCCTAAATCCAACAATTAAACAAGACTTATAGGGTTTTATTATACATACTAGTCTTTGACATGTACGTTGCACGAGTTTTGTATTTATTATATTTTTATTAACGTCAAAATTATAGATTTTCAAAACTGATTGAAGATTCGAAGTATTTGGTGAAGTCTAATCGTTTGGTTCATTATATTATCGTAGGATACGTAGAGTTTTCGTTTTTTATTTTTTTCCTCATTTATTTATTTTTTATGTATTTTGTTCATATTATAAATTTTTTTTTGATTTAAAATCCTTTTTAATTATTTTTTCTTTATGAAAAAACTTAATTTTTTTAATTTTTAATTTAATAATATTTATAGGTTCTTTATCTAATTTTCACAACATTCTTTTGTTTAATTTGTTTTATTTTTATTATATATTTTTTTTTAAGATTGTTTTAAAAAAAAAAATCTTCATATTATAAATAATTTTTTTTAATTTAAAATTCTTTTTTCTTTATATTATTAAAAAAAAAAAAAAAAACAGTTGACGGTTGTGATGCTGAACTTATCCAAAAAGCTGAAAACGAATAGGGTATTTCAATCGCTCAAGAAGACGTAACAAATAGGTCTCCTCTAGTGTTTTTTTAAGCTTTTACATGATGGGCTGAAGGAGGATAAGGTATGCATCGGTGATATTACAAAAGAGCGACTCTAAAAATTAATGTAGAAATTACAAGGAGACAAGATTTCGAAGATTGCATTTCAAAAATAAAGTTCAAGGTTTACTTATTCAAAAATTAGGTTATAATTCACTTTTTAATATTAATAATACTATTACTATACACACTCTCTATATCTAACTTCTATCTTCTGTCTTCTCTCTATCGTTCTTCTGTCTCTTTCTAAATAACATAATCTGACAAAATCAATTGGGGCCATTGTGCACAATTCGGCGGAATTCGACGGAATTGATGATGTTTTGCGGTGACTTTTTCTTTATTGGCCGACAGCGAGGACTGCTTAACAGAAGTTATTTTCTAATTTTTGTTGGTGATGGAAATTAAAATTGCTGCTTCTCCTATTTTGTTGAATTATGTTAGTTGTTGGAGTGGTGCTGGTTGAATGGTGGCAGTTTGCAAGTGGTAGTAATGGTGCTGGCTGTGGTCACATGTTCATAGATGGTACCGTTAAACGCTATTGATCACATGTCGATTTGCACAAAAATGAAGTGACAACAAATTTTCTTTTAGAAGGCTACGTGATGATATGAGGCATAATTAGCCACTCCAATTATTAATCGATTACGTGAGAAATAGTTATCTTTAGTAATCTTCTCAAAAGATCAAAAAAATATCGGCAGTTCGCGTACTGATTAATCGTGTAATTATATTAGCCACTCCAAAATTCTTGCGTAATTACTGATAAATTATTGCACAAAAATTTAGAATTTTTTTCCAATTATGTTGCCATCTCTTCCTCTTTGATTGCCTTCTTTATACATATTGTAACGAGTAACATAGTAAACTTTTGAGTTATTGTTCCCACAAGAACCTTTTTTTTTTTTTTTTACACATAATTTTATATTTCTAACTCCTATTGTTGAAAACAAAGGATTATGATTGTTTTCATAACTATATCTATTAAATGAAAGAATCAAAATTGCACACAAAGATCGAATTGATGTTTCAACTATGGAATGAATATTAGTGCAGGACAATTTCATCTATTGATCACATTTAAGTCTTAATTCAAGATTTACAAATCTAATGTAGAGTTCGATTGAATTTTTTTATTGTATTTAATTGACCCCTATTTAGTTCTCATTGACCCTATTTAACTAATTCAATCACATATCTCTATATGAATCAATCTTAATTAAATACACTATTTCTTCTAAGAATTTATATAACAACCGCAATAATTAGCAAATGTGTCTCTTCATATTATACTAAATTGTCGAATTTTATTATGAGATCTAAATATAAAACTCACCTGTCAATTCGTAAAAGATTCACAAAATCATTGAGTTGTTTATCAAGTAACTCAAAACATTAAATACATAAATAAAATTTTCAAGGAACTAGAATCTTGAATACACGAACTAAAGGATCTTGAATAGATTACATTATTAACCCTAATAAAGAGTTTAGATATTCATAATAATAGAAGGGGGGAAATTGTATTGAATACGTCATCGGGTTTTGAATTGAGCTGTAAAAAAGTGGATGAATCTTACACCAAGTTCTTTTTTTATTCCAAATATTGATTTTAAATCCTTGAGTTCTTGTTTTTCTCTTTTAATTTTGCTCTCTAATTCTCCAAGTTGTGATTTTTGTCTCTCAATGTGGCCCTTCAAAAGTGCCTCTATCATTGTATTTATACTTCCCTTAACGTTTTCCCAAATTTGAAGATGTTATGGAATTTAAACGAGCCAAAAATTCTTGCCCTAGATGTATCAGGCCATGCTACATGGCGTCGTGGCACTACGAAGACATTGTGGATGGCTCCTCTTGGGAAAAATTCAGTACCATATCTCCTTTAATATTTTTATGATAACTTTTTCTCTCGATATCCGGTTGAGACAATTCAAATTGGATTATAAAGATAACTCGAAGGGCTATAATTTTACTAACAGCAGCTCTTTTCCACTTTAAACGTTTACTAGGCAAAAAATGAATCTCAATCTCTGGATAAAAATCTAGAACATTCTTGTAAAAATTCTTTGATCATATTTCACTCATTTTATTTTCTAGTTGCGTCCAATCTTCAATACAACATGAAAATTCTTCAAGTCAAAATTCGTTCATTAGACTATCAAGTACTCAAGTTTTAGCTTGAATTATCTGGCCTTTTGGTCAATGAAGTAATATCAATTCATTTACAGATTCTTTCAAGCGTGACATTTCTAGCATAGATATACCAGATTGATAACTATTTGACATTGTGGAATTCCCATAACTAATTTCTTCTTACATCAATTTAATAGATCTTTTTTTTTTACAGTGTTTATTAACTTGACAACTCAAGAACTTGTCATTTCATACTTATCTAATAACTTGGATGAGTTTTTTTTGACACATATAAATCTATAAATGAAAATGAAAATGAAAATAATAATAATAATGTGGTGGTGGTGGTGGTGGTCCTTATCAACCATGATTTGAATTATCCAACAAATTGACCAAGATTTATGCCAAGGTGCTTAAAAATTGGCACCTCTATGAGAAATTAGAATACAGTCAGTCCATTTACAAAAACTAACAATCAATTCTAACATTTCAAACTTACATCTCTATATATTCTGAAGAAAGGATGGTCCTCAAAAGCTCCTTCAAATTAGCAAGAACATAGCGTGGCCCTAAGCTCGTCACTCCAATAAAATTCAGGAGCTGCTCTAAATCCTACAAAAAGGTCATCGATTAACATAGAAAAGGTCATTGACATGGCACAAAAATAGCAATGTAATTTGTGAAGAAGTCAATTGCACATTGTGTGCAGAGATCAAAATTGGATATGAATAAATCCAATGTCATCTATATTAGGTTAGTCATAAAATTTCGTATTTAATAAAAATCATGTTGGTGGATTGAAGAAGATAAATGTTGGTATAATATTCATCACCTACTCCAGATATCCTCTCAATAATCAAATGCAGTTACAAAAAGTAGATAATATTATTATTTTAACAAATTACTTTTGTAACTACAGTCCAGTAAAATCTTCTGCTTAATTTAAGTAAGAATATCCGCTAAAGGATAGATACAGAAAAATTCAGAAGCTGAGTAATGAGCTCACACCACCATCTAGATCTACACATCAGTAAAGGAATCAACACTCATGAGCAAAAGCACAAAAATGGGGACTGGTACAAATTTAACAAGAAAAATTTATATGCCAAACTCTAAGCCTTGTATGACAAAAAATTTATGTAAGATCATTAGTAGACTGTCTTATAATACTCCAAAAATTACGAATATGTTTCAATATGGTTTGACACTAAAAAATTAAGAAGTGCTACACACCTTCTTTAACAAGAACATAGCATAGGCTGCTCTTGTGAAGTCTTGCCCTTCTATAAAGAGAGGGAATTCTACCAGCTTCAAACTTGTCAAACTTATTGAATAAGAATCTGAACTGGACATTGCAGGTGCATAATCACGTATACATGATCGAGAACCTCCTAGCCGTAAAGGATAACGCAAAGGAACTTGTAAATAAGAAGCAATGAGTGAAACAGCCTACATAAATAACAAGCCATCATGATTAATAGATATTAAATTGCAATTAGTGCTCTGAAAATTACCTAATGCCTACACCAATGCAATAATCCAATAAAGATCATTGAGATCCAAAACAAGTGTAAACTAGGTGCCAAGTTGATGACAAAAGAGATAATGTATAACAAGTCCCCATTTATTTTAGATGTCCTATCACAATTCATCGCAACGAAAGCAGATTACGCTTGAAAAGATACATAAGTTGATAAACTATGCCAGGCAAAGAGGAATAACGCACGTGTGCTATATATCCCAAGGCAGTCGAAGATCTCTGAATCTCCTTCTTATCAGTGAAGAAACTTATCTTTGTAAAAGGGATCATAGTGAGATGCAGACTTAAGATGGTCAAAGAGCCTTGATCAACAGGTTTTGATCCAGGAGGAACACCTGCAAGTAGTGACAAGAAACAAAACTGAATAGAGATTAATCAAAATAAACCAACCAATCAAGGATACTAAGCTGTAATAATTATGGCAATAACCAAAACCATCAATTGCAGCTGGAATCTTTTATATAAAGTAGAGTCAGCATATGATGCTTGCAGTCATGCATTGCTTATATCAACTTGGATGTGACTCCAGCATACACATATATTCAAATTGAAATCAGTGAGTAGGGAGGTAATGAGATTACAAACAATTGCAAAAATGCGGAGAACAATTCATAGAAGCCTCGACATGCAACACCTGAGATAATCAAGAAACTATATACAAAAATGATCCTAACTAAGCCGAGGGAGTCATCCATATAACATGACTATTAGAGATACAACCTACGAGCTGCTCAGAAATTTCTAATCAATTCTTGGTGTTTGTATATAGACTTTGCAAATTTAGCAACCTCAGTGTACAAATTACCAAACAGACCCAGCCCCTCTACTTTACCAATCAGAGCATGAATTTGACGGATTATTGGCTTAGAGGATTTCCTAATTTTAAGGCTTTTAAATTGCAATCTTTTAAATGCTGAGCAAAATAAACAAACTGACAACCAAAGGAGAAAACCCCCAATAAATAAGACATTTTGAATGCAATAAGAACACACTTCCAAGCCTGCACAAGTAAATAGATGGTCGCAAATATTTATCCTTTTTTCTTCAGTATAACATAAGATGAAACTATATCAGCAAATGCAACCAGAAACTACATATCTTAGTAATATTATTGTGACTAATGGCCATTGGCACGTAAAAAAATAACTATCAAGTTTCTAAAATTTTGGGTACCCTAGTACACACAATCACAGAGACCATGGTAAAACATACAAAGTTCTTTCCTTCTATTTTATAGAAAATAACATGACACGAGAAAAGCAAACATGACTTCAACCCTCAACATCATTTACACTAAAATGATGGATCCAGATAAATGTAACTTTGCAGCAACAACTCTGTAACAAAAATTATCATCTCTATCCTACAACTGAGGCATATGTAGAAGGGATACAAGCAAATTTATAAATGATATAGCTGTGTTACCGGTCATTATTATGTTCTTGTATTCAAATAATTGGGTAATTCATATAATGGATTCATAAATTTCTCTGTCATTTAGGCATATGACCTAGATTTATTCTTCGCGAGGTAGAAAATGAAGAGTGAGTGCAGAAAAATATAAGTAGACTTTCTTCTTTACTATATTTGACTCACAACAAAGCTTGCTACCGAGTTAAATAAACATATATCATCTGTCCAACAGTTGAAGCGAGTTATTGGCTTATTCGTGGTTCAGTAAACGAAGAAATGTATTCATCTACATGATACATTAACAATTTTTCACACTCTAACTAAATATAAGATCCATTACCTGATTTGATACTGCTAGTGAATGATTCAAGTTCTTGCTCTGGAGCACGTCCAATTACAACCTTCACAGGATAAAGCAGTGAAACTTGTGATACCATGTATCATTGTCTCAATCTTAATGACTTCTGCAAGTTTTTTAGATGAACATAACCTTTTTCTCCAGTAGGTGACCTATCTGAGTCCTGCATTGAAGTAAGTTTATTTCAGATGTGCAAAATTAATTTTTAATACCAATGCAAAAATTTTAAATTTAAATTTGATAAAATGGGAAGATTTTCAAAAGCATATCCCTACCATATAAAAATGAGAATGTGAAGTTACTGTGGAAATCAACATGAATTGTTCCATTTTATCTCACTG